AATGGAGCCGTCAGGATGATGCTTAACACGCCACACCCACCGATTGCCAACAATATTCATATCAGGCCAGCGGGGAACTAAATCCCAGGTATGATTGGCCCGAAGTGCATCATTTTCAGCATGAAGAGCTGGGCGCCACTCCTCATAACGCAACGTCTCCTTGACTGAAGTTGGTTGAAGTGGAGGAGAGATCTGCGAGGAAGAGGTAGCTCCAAGAAATTTAGTGTTAGGCTTAAAAATACCATGCTGAGCTCGAGTGACCATGCGGTGCTGAGGAGGTGGAGACAGTGGAGGTGGTGGTGGCGAGGACGGAGGAGTCTGAGGTTGAGATTCTGTTGCGCTCGAAGGAGTTGCAGGCTCGGAGGACGTCGCTGTGTGACCAGGATCAGCTGCTGGCGTGTTTGGAGGTGGCGTTGTAGGTAGATGAGTGACTGGCGGAAGAAAGGAAGCCAACCAGGAGTTCGAAGTGGATGCTGCTGGTGCGGAAGTGGAAGGAGACACACCAGGAAACTCGAACTCTACAAACACAACGTGACGAGAAAGAAACATTCGACGCGACACAGGATCTAGACACCTATAAGCACTTTGTTGATGAGAATACCCAAGAAATACACAAGGACGAGACCTAGGATGAAGTTTAGACGCACTATAAGGTCGAAGCCAAGGGTAGCAGAGACACCCAAAAACACGTAACTTAGTATAATTGGGTGGTTCATTAAAAAGAACGGTGAATGGAACTCGACCTTTAAGAGAAGAGGATGGTAAACGATTGATAAGATAGACAGCAGTTGTAAAGGCATAAGACCAATATGACAAAGGTAAGTTGGCCTGATGAAGTAGAGTTATACCCGTCTCGACCAGGTGTCGATGTTTTCGTTCTGCGAGACCGTTATGCTCGGGAGTGTACGGAGGAGTCAAAAGATGAGTGATGCCATGATTGGCTAGCTCGAGCTTGAGCTTCTGAAATTCACCCCCACCATCCGTATATAATCGACGGATAGAAGTAGCGAAAAAATTCTCTACAAGACGACAAAAGTCAAGAAAGACAGCAAGAACATCTGATTTACGTCGAATAGGATAAATCCATCTATAACGGGTGAAATGATCGACAAGAACTAGATAATAACAATATACATCAACAGAAGTGACAGGAGCAGGACCCCATACATCCGAATAAAGCAAATCAAACGGCCGAGAACTCGATAGAGAGGAATCTCCAAAAGGTAACTTATGACTCTTGTTCGACAAGCAGGATGAACAATGAGATAACACCGACGACTTTAAACGAGGAATGGAATGAACACGAAAAAGACGAGACATAGACTTAGATGACGGATGACCCAAACGACGATACCAGGAGTCAGAAGTGACACGAGTAGTAACTAACGCCAACCGAACAGCTCCAGAATCGCCAGGCAGCTCATAGGTATCACCCTTGTTCCTTCCGGTCAGCAGCGACGCCCCCGTGCTTAGATCCTTCACAACAAAATAGTTCGCAAAGATTTCAACAGAGACAGGATTAGTACGACACAACTTAGCAACTGAAATTAGGTGTTTGCGAAGTGCTGGAACGCAAAGAACATCACGAAGATTAAGAGTAGGGGTTGAAGAAGAAATAGTAGAAGATCCAATGTGAGAGATCTTTAACCCCGTACCATCACCAAGATAAACCTCATCTGGTCCATTATAGTCCGAATAAAGCGAAAGGTTGCCAAGATCATGAGTTACATGATGCGTCGCCGCCGAGTCCATGAGCTAGGGTTCAGACGAAGAAGCGGAAGGTTGTCGGGGCGCGTTGGTAGTGTGATTGGCCTGTGGACGCCGTTGAGGATGCAGTTGATAGCATTGTTTGGCCGTGTGACCAGGCTTGTCACAATACTGACATTGGATGCGAGGTCGTCGAGAGGATGAATCATCCACAGGGGTCGGCTCCCAAGGCGAGCTTGAAGAAGAGTTGGAGCGACCAGCTCCCCGACCAGCCGAGCCACCACGACGACCACGAGAGGCACCTGAGCCGCGACCACGTTGGGAGGAGAAAATAGTGGCAGGCGAGTCAGCGCTGGAACGACAGGCTTTGAGATCGGCTTCCAAGGACAGGAGACGATCAAGGAGATCATCGAGAGACGGCGGAGATTCACGGGCACGAATACCAGCTGCAAACTCTGTGTAATCAGGGCCGAGACCTCGAAGGCAAATAGTGACAAGTTCAACGTCGGTAGGAGGAGCTCCAGCGAGAGCCATCTCTGTGGCAGTGGAGCGAAGGGCTTGAACAAAGGCAGAGACATCTCGGTCGCCTTTCTTTTCTCTGAGAAGGCGATCACGGAGCGTCATAACGCGAGATTGAGAGGTGCTGGCAAAGAGCTTGAGCAAGATAGCCCAGGCTTCAGCAGAGGTCTTCGCAGCGCTAATGTAGGGGCAGACTGCTTCAGTGATCGAGGCGAACAGGCTGCTGAGAAGAAGCTGATCCTGACAAAACCAATGAGTGTATTTAGGGTTCCGAGTTTCAGCACCATCGACATGAATCGTTGGAGTCGGCGGAGGAAAAGATCCATCCAAGTAACCGACGAGATCAAGACCATGGAGAATAGACAGCAGCTGAGCGCGATAAGACGGGAAATTCACAGTAGTGAGTTTCAACGGAAGAGACGCAGCGGGATTGATCGTAACCAGCTGAGGCTCGTCTGAATTCGCCATGAGGAAGGGGCTGATGAACGTAGACAGCTCCTTGGACGAAAGAAAAAAACTTAGGTTTTAGGTATCCAGCTCTGATACCATATTAGGCTTTGAATACGTGAGTATTATTGAAAAGCACAAGGGTATACTTATACCCATCGGTTGCATTGTACAGCAAGTAAAGATGAATACTAGTTACACTAGGACAAGGATATACAATTATACAGGGACTAAGACACGTCCCTAATATTAAGAACTAGATTTTAATCTTTAAGGGTTGTTGTATAGTAATATGTCACAAATTTGGGCCAATTCAATATCTAGATATCATTTTCTTACTCTGAATGTGTACGATAGAAGCATCACTATATAATTCAGGATGGTGGAGTGGATCTGGCTATTAATGTTGCTTAGTATGATTAGGAAAGAGTTAAGGCATGTGGCCTTATAAAGCTTGATTAGGTGGTTGATTATATTGTTTCAGTCCATCGTAAAATTTTATGGAAGAGAAATGAATCTAGTTTCTCTTGTTCGTTCTATTGTTTTCTCGTAGTGATAGACGATTTTGTAGAAATTAAAGTAGAATGGTTTTGTTGCATGTTAATCACGTAACGACTGGTATCAAATTAAAGCATGTTGATCTTCATCCAGTTTACCTGGAAGGCTGGAAGTAAATCAGCAAACGAAGTAGAAGTTTTGACAAACCGCGTTCGTGACCAGGAAGATGGAGTCTTCTTCATTTCCTTTTTTCTCTGAGCATCACGATCAAGTTGGGTTCCCATGATCTGGGTTGGTCTATAGTTCATGGCGGTCTGGGCCTGCCACATAATCCACTTGGGCCTGCATGAAGCAACTAGGCTATATAAATTGCTCAAAGGAACAAATAGGAAGCAAACCATGCATGTATCATATGTATGAGTGAAGAATGCATCCAATACTAGAAATGTGGCTTAAGAAAATTTTAAAACACTATTTTTCAAGTGTCAATGGTTGTACCAAAGTCTCTTGAGACTTGTTTTCCACTCCTAAAAGAGAGGGGAGGCTCACAATTAGAGGTGGCATCAGTTTGGTTGAACCACACCAAATCACAACAAATCACTATTACGATCAAGCCAAATCGCACCGTGATCTGCCTTGCGATCTCTGTTCTAAGCGGTTCGTGGTTTCCAGCTTAAGCATATAGAAACCGCACCATTGCAGTTCAAATCACTGAAAAGTGAGACTCTTCTTCACTGAATGTCATACTCGAACAAACCTGCAGAGCCAGAAAACTGAACAAGGAGAATTAAAAATTTATGTTGGAAGGAATTTGAATCAAAAGTAACTAAAGTCTTACCACCTATTTCATTTTTAAATTTGTTACAAAATTTGCACGGTTTTGAAAGTTAACCGAGTCTTATAGCCCCTTTATCAATAACGTGGCTCCGCCACTAGCTGCTATTAATTTGGTCCGCAAATGGAAGCTGTATCGTTTTGGTTGGTGGGCAGTGTATGGCGTGAATTATCTATGCCATGGAAAATGCCGCATTTGCTGATAATGTTGCTAGTTGTACTGTTCCTACTTCCTAGTTAGTTATCATCCTTTGTGGTGACTTTTTTTTATAATGAAAAAAATATATATTACAAGAAAATGTATGGAAATAGATACCTTTAAATTTGGGTAATGTCTATTTTTTATCCAAACCTTTTTCAGATTCTTTTATATTATCCAAACCTATTAAAAATTTATTAATTAGCCAAATCTTTCATAATGCACCAAAATATTAGTCATTTTTACGTTATTGTTAATAATTCTGTAACTCTTTTCTTAGTTAAAATACTAAAATTTTGGAATCTTGACCTTAATGTGTCTCTTCCAAGTCAGTATCATGTTGTTAAGTCAATATTACTAACAAAAATGCTAACCGAAAGTTAACATTCGGCTAATTTTTAGTATTTCGATAGGTTTGGATATTATAAAAGAATCTAAAAAAGGTCTGGATAAAAAATAGACGTTACCCTTTAAATTTTAATGTGTTAGGTGTGACTTTAGGTTTTGATCGTTTAAGCCAACAAACATTTTATACATATATACAAGATGCTCGGCTAGCCTAAATATTTCAATTTGCAAACAAATTTCATGAAGATGATACGACAAACTTACGATCATTAAAAGCCAGAAAAAATCACAGGAGCCAGACACTTAAAACTCGAAAACAAATTCCACCATGATACGACAAACTTACAAGAGGGCATTATTCTTGTTCCAGAAGAGAAGTATTAATCATCGAAACATTCATTTTCCAATAAATAGATTGTTCTTCTTGTATACATGGCATCCCATGAGTTCAATCGTCCGTAAGCTTAAGAAGTTGTACAAAAGAGGTCCCGTCAAGACCTTGTTTATATGCCCCGGCAACAAAATCTTGAATTGTCGTCTTCTTATATTTTGGAGGGTCGCTTTCGGATAACAACTCTTCTATGGGTCCATATAACCTTGAATTGGATGTGTATCCAATACCAAAAAATGCAATAGCAGTCACTCTCGGTCCAGCCCCTTTCAACAGCACTCTATGCTCTACGCTTGTAAACTTATCATTAGACATTACCTGAAATTACGAAATATCGAAACACCACAAACATAACTTGTTACATAAGCTTCCTCATCCAAAGTTTAACCATAAGAAAAAATCTGATGGGACAAATTAAAAAAAAAACCCTTGCCTGAAGAAGGTTTCCGATGTTGACCACCAAACCTTGTGACATAGGAGGCACATCGACCCAATGGTTCTGATGAAGAACCTGAAGCCCTCCGATGTGATCTTGCACGAGCATCGCAATGAAAGCAGTGTCTGTATGCTGGGTTGCTCCCAGAGTGAGCTCTGGTTGCGGACATGGCGGATAGTAATTGTAGGCCACGTCCACTCCTTCTGCACAACCCAGTTCTTTCAAGTGATTCGAACTCAAACCCAGAGCCTCGGACAATAACCCGAAAAGTGAATCTGCAAAACTTAAAATCTCTTTGGAGAACTCCGTTACGATATCCTTGCAGCAGATCGGCAGCTGCTCCGGCTCCGGCGGATCCGGTGCCATGTGAAAGAGGATGGTGTCCCGCCAGTTCGCTGCCGGCGAACTGTACAGGTCGAAGTTGGTGTTGTAGACGACTTTTTTGGTCATGTCACGGCCGAAGAATTCCTTCTTCTGCTCAACATCCAGCTCAAAAAACCTAATAAAGCCAATCAACGACGAAATCGTATAATTAAGTCGAGTGGCGTAGCCAGAATCTTGCTAAGGTAGTAAGCTGGGTCCGACGATAAAAAAAAGTTCTAATTTTTATAATACGATTTGTCGTTACATTCTAAAACATTTTAAGTGTATATCTATCCAAATGGTAAAAGAGTGTGACCGTAATATTTCTACATTGAACATTCATTCATAGCATCACTACTCATTTTACATTTACATGTGTTCTTCGCGTACTTAATTATGAAACTTTTTTTATTAGATAGAGACGTCCTTTTAGCGTCCCATATTTCGACAACAAAGATAAATAGACGTAAATGAAACTAAATCATTATAAGTAAAATAAAAACCTGTGGGCACCGGCTTTCATTTCGTCGACGACACGCGCGGGGACGCCGTGGTTGACGACCTGGAAGAATCCCCAGTTTGCCGACGCGTCCCTGATCTCGCCGACAATCTGAGCTCGCTTGATGGGATCTTTTCCCCACGCGCCTTCCAGGTCGATGATTGGGAAAGTGAAGTTTGGGTCGTCGGCTGGCGCGGTTGGGCTGCCGTTGATGAGATGCGGCGGCGCGTGGAAGATTCGAGGGAGCTCTGTGATCCCGGCGTCGGCCAACCCTTTGACGCCGGCTTTCGTTTCGTCGAAGGCCTTCAGCTCCGGCAGTCGATCATAAGCGGCGGTACTAAGGGCCATTGGGTGGAGGAATTTGATTATTTAGCTTAATGATGAGAAAAAGTACTCTCTAGAGTTTAGTTTCTGAGTTTAACGAAGCATGCAATGCAAGAGAGTGCTCGATCGGTTTTATAATACAATCAAGGAGTCTAGGCAGCTGGCTGCATAATAAAATCTAATCCACTGATTTTGACCGTGGAAGATATAAGGGATGTCATTAAGATGTTTTAGTTATTTATTTATTGAAGGGGATGTTTGAGAATTTACCATGGCAGGCGGACAAATTTTATGTGAATCATAATAGAGGGTATGTTTAAGAAAATGGAGGAGAAAAATATGCTATTAACCTCTCTTTCTGAGGTTCGATGTGATGGTGATGTACAGGTGGTTATTGAGAAGCTCCGTAGAGCGGAGATTAGAGATAGCAGGGTGGGGCCCATTCTGGAAGAGGTCAGCAATTTGTTTGCTGCGAATTCGGGGTTTAGTGTTCGGTTTGTAGGTCGGAGAAACAATAGGGTAGCTCATTTAGTAGCTCGCAAGACCCCTTCTTTGTACCCGACTACGAGTCGTTTCTTTGATTTTCAGGCCTGGCTGTATTCCAGGATGTAATTACCTTTTCTTCAATCAATATATGATTATCTTTTGTCAAAAAAAAATTGGAACTAAAAAAAAATTCACAGATAAAACGAATTTATTGATATACAGAATAATATCAATTTTTTATATATTTCGAGATTTTCTTTTCATACCATTCATTACCACACAGGTACTCTATACCACGTTACTTTTTAACTGATTTTTCGTAAAATTTTGCACAGAAAGAACAATTTTATTCTGATATAATCATTATACAGGATGATGCATTCACATACCACCATGTTACAGTTTCATTCACTATGATATACTCTTATGTATTATAAAATTTTGGGTTAATATTTTCGTATGGCCTGAACTTTGACCAAAATAAACATCCTGGCCAATCTTTTCGATCTATAACATCCTGGCCCGAACTATACACCAAAATAAACAATTTGGCCAAACCCGATGTTTGACCGTTAACTTGGACGGTCAAACGCGTTGACTAACGGTCAACTCGCCAAGTCACTGCCTCGTCACTGCCAAGTCGGAAGATCTGATAAATATTTAATTTTTTTCGTTTTTTATTTTTGGTTTAACTAAGGTATTAGATGATTTTTTTAATTTATAATAATTTAAAATTAGGGAATGTGTGGAAATTGTGAATTATTTTAAATATTTTATATTGAATTGGCAGTGACATGACACGTTGACTAACGGTCAACGCATTTGACCGTCCAAGTTAACGGTCAAAAGTCGGATCTGGCCAAATTGTTTATTTTGGTGTATAGTTCGGGCCAGAATGTTATAGATCAAAAAGATTGGCCAGGATGTTTATTTTGGTCAAAGTTCAGGCCATACGAAAATATTAACCCTAAAATTTTTAATGTTACAGTTTCAATGATTTGAATTCTTTTTAGTTGAAGTCTATCTTTTGACTAGTTTTGCCAATTATGGGTGGAAGCCCCCCAAGTTCTGGCATTGCCCTATTTAGCTAAGCATAGCAACTTAGCAATCAAGTGGTGGGGGAGCAGAGCAGTAGTGTATCTGTATTGCTTGGTGGCTTGGCTCTTTTTCGTTCATTCATTCTCTTTGTCATGTACGTTTTGCATGTATGTGCTTTACTGAATGATAAGGTTTTAGTGGTAGAGGCGCGAGAGAGGGAGATCCAGCTAGGAAGAAGGTGTTGATTGATTTCTTCAATCTTCTGGGATTCAGTTTTTATTTCTTATACATAAATGCGTTTTAAAACAACCCTTAGAGATGGTGATGGTCCAACAACTCCATCTGACCAAACTAGCTTCAAGCTAGTGGCTGCTCGATCTACCCTCCATCGCTATCCCTAATTAAGACTGATCACCTACTATTTTTCATTTGAGGAGAATTTAAACAGGCAATTGAGGTTTACAGAGGAGAGTCCTCACGGTTAACGAGCAAAAATAAATTTTAAGATTATTCTGGATCGGTACTAGCTCACGTATTCTCTAAATCGACATTTACTTTTTTTTTTTTTATAAGGGTGATATAAGTAAACTTTAAGATGATTTTGGATTGATGTACATAATGCGTAGTGACAGATTCACTTTGGTTATTCAGAAGATAAACACTTACTTTTCTTCTATAAGCGTGATATAAATTTACTTTTTGTGGTCATATTATTTATGAATGGTTAGGGTTTATGGTAGTGGTTTTGTGGGGGTGATTGTCGTCCTTTTTTCGTCTCCTTACATAGCTATAAGGATGATAACTATCAAACCCGAACCGGCCCCATTAATTATACATGTGTATGTGTTTAAATTTAGAAATTATTTTTATTTTTCTCATCAAATTTGATGTTTTCTATGCATATATAATATTTTCATGAAATGGTTTTCTCTACCACTAATTTTCTTCGTTCTAGTAACTTATTGTTGTATTTTTCACTTATTTAATGTCAATATACATGTCATTGTTAATATGTTTGTTGAAGTTCCGAAGAAAAATTACTACTCATGCATAACTATGAATATCCGAACCTCAATCTACCATGAATATGATTTTAATTTTTTATCATATTCTTATATGGATATGAGTATTAGGGATGGCAATGGGTCGGGTTGGGTCGGGGTTTGCCAAACCCAAATCCATGAGTTTATTCGTGAAAAAAACCGGGGTAAAACCCACTGAGTTTGAAAAACTCAAACCCAACCCGCTCAGTATCCGCGGGTTCATGGGTACCCATGGATTTTTGTCGTAAAATTTTTACAATAACAAGTACCTATCAAAATTAAAGTCAAATATCAATCTCTCAATACAAATTATCCATATATAAAACACCATTTTAGAAAATTCAAGCAAATCACAATTTAATTATACAAATTGTTCAACACCAATCTAGAAAACTCAAGAAAATTGAAGCAAATCACACATTATCCATAAATAACATGATTAATTGAAAGCTTCTTTCTCCTTGTCAATTAAGTTTCTTCACTCTCCACTTGATACAATCAACTTCATTTTACACAATTAGAAAGAAAAAATTAGACATGTCTCCACAAACATAAATAAGATTAGTTGTTTAGAATATTAAATATACCAAGAAAATTAATTATATGGGTGTGGGCGGGTACCCATGGGGCGGGTTTACCTAAACCCAAACCCAACCCAAACCGATGAATAGTGAATGGGTTTAAACCCAAATCCGGCTAAAACCCGTCAACATGGGTTTACTCGCGTTGACCGGGTTGGGTCGGGTGGGTACCCGTGGGTTCGAGTTTTGTTGCTATCCCTAAATTGAGTTTGTGTTTAGATAAAATTCAAATTAATTTGAATAAACAAACAAATATGCACTAGCCGCCACTCTACCCGATCCGTTACATTCTTATACCTAACCGCCTATCTAAATTATGAAATCGACGCGTTATTGGAGAGTGGAGAGCATCTTTCCGTTTTCGAAGGTTAATAATGTCTAATGAGACAGCATCTTTAGTGTCTGAATTTAACGAAGCATGCAATGTATCAGATGACTCGGTTTTATAGTACAATAACCAGGTCCAAGCTGTCGTAATTACAGATTTTTTCAAACAACAAAGATGTATAAATATGAAGTGGTTGGTGAAAGCTGGTCGCAGTCACGAGGTCGCCACGGTGCTCCACAACATCATAGATCAACGGCGTCGCTAGGTTAATAATGATCATGGTCGCAGTCTCAAACTTGTTCGCTCAAGAGAACTTTTGTAGCCCTAGCCATGTCGGCCGCGGGCTCAACAACAATGTTATGGCTCCAACCATATCCTAGTGCGGGCGCAGGTGCATCTATGTGGATTCGTACACTACAAGAAAAATGTCTTTTTGCAACCAAAATATATGGTCCCTAAAAGTCAAAAAATGGTTATCGATACATTTTCGCAACCAAATATATTTGGTAGCAGATTTGGTCGCTATAGCCGCGTTACGAATTCCTAATGCAACCAAAATAATGATTGGTTGCGAAAAATCAGGCTATCACAACCAATTCTGCCAATGCTAAAAATCTTAGTTTTTTGTGACCATTTAAATTTGGTTGTCATAGTCCATACTTTTGGTTGCAAAATGTAGTTGATTGGTCGCCATAAATATTAATGACAACCATTTTGTGTGACTATTAGTAATCGATAATATCATTATGACAACCAATAATTTTGGTTATAAAATTTTAATACAACTATAAAATTTGGTCGTGAAAAATACATATGCCGACCAATTATATCATTTTAAACGACTAAATATTTTTGTCATAAAAATGTAAAACAACCTTGAGATTTGGTCGTGAAAAACATGTAACTCAACCAATTAAACCATTTTGACAACCAAATGTTTTAGTTATAGAATTATAAGTCAACCTTAAAATTTGGTTGTAAAAAATACATATGCCAACCAATCATTTCAATTTTTGCGACTAATTATTTTAATTATGAAAGCGTTACAAAACCATAAAAATTGGTTGCGGAAACACATAAGCCGAGAAAATAAATCATTTTATATGACCAATTTCGTTCATGAGAGTTTGGTCATTAAAATGCACCATTTAAAAATTTAAATTGAATTATAGTAAGAAAGTGTACATGTCATATCTCGTCTTTAACAAATTGTTATGTCATCACTAAGAATAACCTCACTATTTCATACAATTGCATCTATAACTAACTTAAGATGAACAAAATGCAAACACTACAAAATGTACCCTCTTTATAGTTGCCAATAGTCCATCATTCAATAGTTCACCATCAACATTTTCTTCTACAGATGACAAAAAGAAACAATTGAAATCCTTTCTTATAGAAAGAGCCAGTATAAAGTAAACATAGATTGGGCAGAAAAGAAACCAAGAAAAGGGCATATCACCTGAATTTAGAGCATGTCCTCGTTCATATAAACAAGCTCTTCATTTCCACGAACAATAGCAACAGCCCATCGACATCATTTTTTAGTTCTGAAAAGGCCCAGCATCATTCAAATTTTAACACCTAGACTTATCAAGCATATGGAAGTAAAACAAAAACAAGGTTCGCGTTTTAGAAGCAGTATAGAGGTCAAA